TTTCTTCTTTATCTCGTTTTGGGGTTTTTCCTCCCCTTTGGGTTACTTTTCTACCTTTCTTATTACATTTTTATTCAGACCTATTGTTATTTGGATACCTTACATCTTAGTATTCATTCCTTTGATTATTTTGTTTTTTTCTTCAATTTCTTTCCTGAATTCAGTCATCTGTCATTTCATTTCTTCCTGATTTTTGTCCATTTCTATACCTAGCTTTTGAATTTATGATTCAAGGTATTTTGTTAATATTATCAAGTGATTGTTTGCTGTTGTGCTGTTAAGTGCCGTCGAGTCGGTTCTGACTCATAGCGACCCTGTATAGAGTTCCCAAGGAGCATCTGGTAGGCTTGAACTGCCAACCTTGTGGTGATCCTACAGCTCCATACCAGGAGTTTGAGTGATTGTTTGAGGATATTTAATTCACTTTAGAATAATGAGTTACTGTTTTCTTCCAGTTTCTGTTTGGTTTCTGGTGGTGAACTTTATTTTTTATAGCCTGAAATGTTTTCTCATTTTCTGTTGTTCTTAAAGAAGCTTTGAATTTCTTAAAGAAAACGATTTGTGTATTTGTTTTCATAAGTTTGAGAGTTAGTGTGGTTAGTTGATTCCTCTTTTGTCAGTGAAACAAACTGCAGTTTCCTTAATGAATGACTTTTTCTTAAACAGTGTTCTTTGCTTGCTTTTTGTGGATGGGGACAGGGCTCATTCTTTATTTTACATGACCTTCAATTTCTCCCTCTTGTTTTTTTTTCCCTTCACCTTGTCTCCAAAGGATACGTCTTCTTTCTTTTTTACTCTATTCACCCTTAGAAGTGATACTTTATGTGACTGCTTCCTTGTGTCCCATGAAGCTTTCTACTTAGGTAAGGATTGCACTGTGGGCTAATGCGTCAGACTGGAAAGTCGTTTGAATTGCAACGTTGGTGCTTCAAGCTCACCAGCTGCTCTTCGGAAACCCTATACAGGGTCACTATGGGTCAGAATTAACTCAACGGCACTTAACAACAACAACAACAACAAGGATTTATAGCCTCGGAAACCCTGTACAGGGTCACTATGAGTCAGAACTGACTCAACAGTACACAAGCACCACCACCTTGTGTCCCACACACATTGCAGGCTCTTTTCTATAGCTGGTGCTCTGATATATTCAGATAGTGTTTTGTTGTTGTTAGCATTTTCATACTTCAGGTAGATTTTTCTCTTTCCCACAAGGATTTTGGCTCACCTTTAGGCCTTCCCCCCTTTTCTTTTCTCTTGACTTTTTTTTTTAAGACTTTCTTTACACTCCAGAACATAGTAGGAGTTTGAAACACAGCTGAACTGCAATTTGGTATTTGTTTTTTACTTACAGGTAATTTGGAATGTAAAGTAATCTCTATTTTCTATTATAAGTTTATACGGAAGGTGTATGTGTCATGTAGTTTTGTTTGCTTTTCATGTTTATTTGTACAGTCTTTTGGAAGATATATGGAGCAATTCAGATTTATACAGATATAATTATCATAGATTACCTGTAAGCTCCTTAATTTTTTTCATTTCAAAAAATTAAGATATACTTTATGTACAGTGAAATTGATACTTTTTAGTGTTTTTACAAACTTGTCTAGTTATGTAACCACTGCAGCAATGAAGATAGGAAACAGTTCCATCATCTCCTGATATGTCTTCCTTGTTGTCAATACCTCCTTGCACCCAGACCCCCAGCAATCACTTTGTCTTTCCTATGTTGTTGTTGTTGTTGTTAAGTGCCATCGAGTCGGGTCCGACCCATAGCGACCCTGTACAGGGTTTCCGAGGGTGTAAATCTTTACGGGAGTAGAAAGCCTCATCTTTCTCCCGCGGAGCGGCTGGTAGTTTCGAACCGCTGACCTTAAGGTTCGCAGCCCGATTCGTAACCACTACGCTACCAGAGCTTTGTCTTTCCTATAGTGTTATATAAATACAATCATATAATATGTAGCCTTTTGAGTCTGGTTTTTCACTTAGCATCATACTTTTGAAGTTCACTGATGTTATTGTATGTCTTGGTAGTTCTTCCATTTTTATTGCTGAGTAGTATTGCGTTATATGGATTCCAGCTTGTTTTTGCATTCATTAGCTGAAAGACATTTGGACTGTTTCTACTTTTGGTAATTACAAATAAGACTGCTATATAAATGTTCATTTATAGATTTGAGGGTTTACAGAGGCCTTCATTCTCTTAGGTAAATAACTGGGAGTGAGATTGCAGGGTCAGAGGGAATGTGTGTTTAATTTTTTAAGTAAATGGCAAATCATGTTTTAAGATGGTTGTGTGATTTTGATATTCCCACCTGTGATACATTAACTTTCCAGTTGTTCTTCATCCTCATCAGCACTTGTTACTGCCATTTTTGGTTTTGTTTTCTCATTCTAATAGGCGCATAGTGGTATCTAACTGTGGTTTAAATTTGCAGTTTCCTGGTGGCTAATGATATTGAGCAGCTTTTTTTCTGTTTGCATTTGTATATCTTCTTCAGTAAAGTACTTGTATTTGCCCATTTTCTATTGGACCATGTACATATCATTGAGTTTTTGAGAGTTCTGTGTATATTCTCAATACAAGTCCTTTACTGGATATGTGATTTGAAAATACTTTCTCCTAGTCTTTCGCTTCTCTTTTCGTGCTCTTAATGGTGTCTTTTGATATAATTTAATTATTATTATAATATAATTTTGGTATAATATCTAAGAAATCTTTGGCTAATAATGTAAGATTAAAAAGACTGCCTCATACTTTCTTCTAGAAAACTTAAATGTCTATTTTGTATTTAGGTTTCTTATCCATTTTGAATCAATTTTTATAAATGTTTGAGGTATGGATCAAGGTTTACTTTTTTGCACATGGATGTCCAATTGTTCAGCATCATTTGTTGACAAGGCTACCCTTTCTTCATTGAACTGCTTTTGCACTTTGATTGACAATAGTTTTTATTTAAGTATAAAAATATAGAGTGTATTTAAGTATGTTGTTGTTTCTGTTAAGTGCTGCCGAGTTTGTTCTGGTCCATAGCAACCCTGTATAGGGTTTCCAAGGAGCAACTGGTGAGCTTGAACTGCTGACCTTATGGTTCAAACAGACTTTGCAGTCCAGCACATTAACACACAGTGCCACACCCGGACATTTAAAAAAAAGTACACCACTTATTTGTGCTCAGCCACCATCCAGATCAACAAATAGAATATAATCAGGACCTCAAAATCCTCCCTCTGGCCCTCTCCCTGTCAGTGCTATTTCCCAAAGGTAATTACTATCTTAACTTTTACATCATGGATTAACTTTGCCCATTCTTGAGCTAGATTGTTATTGTTTTGTTAAGTGCCATCAAGTCGGTTCTGACTCATAGTGATGCTGTATGGGGTTTCTGACCTTGTGGTTTGCAGTCCAGTGCAGATCCACAGTGCCACACTGTTATTAAGTGTCATTAAATCAGTTCCAACTCAGCAGCCCTGTATAGGGTTTCCGAAGAGTGCATGATGGGTTTGAACTGCCAACCTTGTGGTCAGCAGTCCGATGTTTATCCTACAGCACCACACCAGAACTCGATTTGTATATAATCATGCTGTATGTACTCTTGTATCTAGCGTCTTTTGCTCATCATTACATCTGTGAGATTCATCCATGTTGGTTGTGTAGTTGTAATATATTCATTTTCATTACTATATAGTATTCTATCTTATTTTCTAGACACTTTATTGTGTTACCTTTCATTAGATTTACAATTAACCTATAGCCAATTTCTGTTTGTTGTTGTTGTTTGGTGCCATCGAGTCAGTACTGACTCATAGCTACCCTACGTACAACAGAACGAAACACTGCCCGGTCCTGGGCCAACCTCACAGTCGTTGCCACGCTTGAGTCCATTGATGCTGCCACTTTGCCAATCCATCTCACTGGGGGTCTTCCTCTTTTTCTCCGACCCTCCACCTTACCAAACATCATATCCTTCTCCAGCGACTGGTCCTTCCTGACAATATGTCTGAAGTATGAGAGATGAAGTTTGGCCATCTTGGCCTCCAAGGAGCACTCTGGCTGCACTTCTTCCAAAACAGATCGAATGGTTCTTTTGGCAGCCCATGGCACTTTCAATATTCTCCTCCAACACCATAACTCAAAAGCATCAATTCTTCTACGGTCTTCCTTATTCACTGTCCAGCTTTTGCATGCATATGAGGTTATTGAAAATACCATGGCTTGGGTCAAGCGCACCTTAGTCCTCAAGCTGACATCTTTGCTCTTCAACACTTTTAAAAGGTCTTGTGCACCAGATTTGCCCAATGCAATATGTCGTTTGATTTCTTCACTGCTGCTTTCATGAGTGTTGATAGTTGATCCAAGAAGAATGAAGTCCTTGGAGGCCAGGATGGCCAAACTTCGTCTCTCATACTTCGAATATATCGTCAGGAGGGACCAGTCATTGGAGAAGGATATCATGTTTGTTAGGGTGGAGGGTCAGAGAAAAAGAGGAAGACCCCCAATGAAATGGATTGGCAAAGTGGCAGCATCAATGAGCTCAAATGTAGCAACAATTGTGCGGTTGGCCCAGGACCGGGCAGTGTTTTGTTCTGTTGTGCACAGGGTCATTATGAGTCAGTACCAACTCAATGGCACCTAACAACAGCAACACATTTATTGAAAAGATCATCCTTTCTCTACAGATTTTCTGTGCCAACTTTATAATAAATCATGTATCTACACATGTTTGGAGTCCTGGTGTAGCACTGTGGGATAATGCACTGTACTACAAGGTTGGTTTGAACCACAAGGTTGGCAGTTCAAAGTCACCAGCCGCTCCTTGAAAGTTCTATACAGGGTCACTATGAATTAGAACCGACTCAACAACACGTAACAGCAACAACAGTACATATTGGAGTTTCTGTTTTGTTACACTGAGCTATTTGTCTGCCCTATGCCGGTACACATTGTCTTAATTATTGATTTGTATTATTCCAAGCAGTCAGCAATTTAGAATAAAAAGAATGTGCAATTGCAGGGACAAGTGATATTTGAAGATGTGGCTGTGGATTTCACCCAGGAGGAATGGCAATACCTGAACCCTCCACAGAGGACCCTGTACAGAGATGTGATGCTGGAAACATACAGTAACCTAGTCTCTGTGGGTAAGAATGGCTTCCTTGGGTAATTTTTCTGTTTCTGATTATTGTGTCCAATATAGGGCCTCCCCTTTCTCATTTTCTAAAATTTGCAAGGTCTCTGAACCACATGAAGTTTTTGACATTGAATTCCAAAGGCGAAAGGTCCTTTTCCCCTGTTGCTCCCCTGACACAAGGTATTTGTGAACTCAAAACTCAGATTGAATGGTTTGACTTTACCATTGTGACAAAGGATAGGTCCCTTGTGCTGCCCAAAGTTGCGACTTCCTCTTTCTCAGAGGCTCTGAAGACCAAGAAGATATTTCTATCATTTCTCATTAACAGAGCATCAGGTTACCAAACCAGACCTCATCCTCAAATTAGAGTTAGAAGAGCCATCCCCAGCAGAAGGAAAAATCCCAATTTGGAGTTTTCCAGGTAAGTAGGCTTGACCCACTCAAGCTGTGGAGTACAAGAGGTTCCAGTGAATTTTGAGAAAGGTTGTGCACTTTGTTGCTATTTGAGTTCAGGGACATGAGCACCTTAAACATAGACTGACGCTCCCTTCCCCTGAGCTACACACACTAAACTACTCCCCTTACGTTGGTATTCATTTACAAGTTTCTGTACTCTTACTTTTGTCCCATAATGCTACCCACACCACTCTGACCCTTTCCATCATTCTCATTTCTACTGACATATCTAAAGTCAGGCCCATATTAACCACAAGCTTAGACTAATTAGTTCTAATTACAGATTCGATGATTGGATTCCATTCTGGTTCAGTTTAAATATTTGTTTTCCTAAACATCTAAACGTCTTGATTATCTCTTCTTTAAAATAGCTCATTTGAAGACCAGGCTTACTTGTCAGAAAGTGATGGCCCTTGGGGGTCACTATGGCCCTTGGGGTCACCTTTTAGATCTAGAACTGCACTCACCCTCGTGGCTCAATTTTTTGCCAAGCAATAGGTACGTACATATACAGGGAGGACAACAACACTAGTGAGGTATGTACACCTTGGAATGGTCAACCATTGAAGATCAAAAGAGCAACATTTACATAAGGACAAAATTCATAAAGGTTGGGAAAGAAGGTGGGATGAAAACGTGAATCACAAGGGTGTTACACGAAGGGGAATGCAATCATTGAAATGAAAATGAAGTATATGATTTGTTGAATATAAAACTGATGTAAACCTTTATTCAATTCACAATAAAAAGTACAAAAAAATAGCTTTTTAAAGATATAATTTACATGCCATAAAATTCCCCCTTTTAAACTGTACAGTTCAGTGGTTTTTAGTGTTTTCAGAGTTGTACAACCATCATAACTATCTAATTTTAAACATTTTCATGACTGCAAAAAGAAACCCCTTTTCCTTAGCAGTTACTCCCTATCTCCTCTCCTCCACCCCCTGGCAACTCTAATCCACGTTCTGCCTAATTTTCTGGGCATTTCATATGAATGGAATCATACAGTATGTGGCTTCTATAGCCTGGCTTCTTGCACTCAGCATAGCATCTTCAAGGTTCATCCATGTTTTGTCATATATCCGTACTTCATACATTTCTACGGCAGGATAATAATATCCTACTTTAAGAATGAATATACCACGTTTTGTTTATCCATTCATCTGTTGATGGACATTTAAATTGTTTCTGGTGTTTGGATACTATGAATAATGCTGCTGTAAACATTCATATGCAAGTTTTTATATGAATATAGTTTGAATTCTACTGGTAGAGAAGTTGCTTGGTCTTATGGTAACTCTATGGTTAACATTTTTGAGGACCTGCCAAACTGTTTTTCACAGGGACCACATCAGTTTACATTCCCATCAGACATATATGTTGGTTCTAACTTCTCTATATCCTTTCAAACGCTTGGTATTTTCCATTTTTTTTTTAAATAGCCATCCTAGTGGATGTGAAAGGAACCTTGGTAACACAGTGGGTTAAGCATTAGCTGCTGTGGTGCTGTAGGATAAGCATTGGACCACAAGCTTGGTTTGGATTGCAAGGTTGGCAATTCAAAACTTACCAGATGCTCCATGGAACCGACTCGACAGCACTTAACAACTAACCATAAAGTCAGCGGTTCAATCCCAACTGCTCCACAGAAGAAAGATAAGGCTATGTGCTCCCATAAAGCATTGCAGTCTCAGAAACCCTATGGAGCAGTTCTCCTCTGTCCTGTAGAGTCACGATGAGTTGTAGCTGACTTGATGGTAGTGGGTTAGTGTATGTGAAGTGGAAGCTCATTGTGTTTTTTTATTTACATTGCCTGAAATGAGCCCTAGTGGGCCTGTAGGATAAGCACTGGGCCTCTAACTGCAAAGTCAGCATTTTAAACCCACCAGGGGATCCATGAAAAAAAGATAACACTTTCTGCTCCTGTAAATATTTACAGCCTTGGGAACTATATGTAGAGTTGCTATGAGTTGGCATTGACTCAGTGGTAGTGGATTTGATTTTAGTTTTTTAATTACTAATGATGTTGAACATGTTTTCATGTGCTTATTGGCCATGAGTATATCTTCTCTGGAGAAATGTCTATTCAAATCCTTTGACCATTTTAAAACTTGATTGTCTTTTTATTGAGTTCTATATATAATGAGGCTTCAAAATGTTAATGGAAAAAAATTCACTATCTTTTCATTCTATTTTTTCATGGGCTTTTTGAAGCCCCTTCATATTCTGAATAAAAGTCCTCTTGTTAGATATGTGATTTGAAAATATTTTCTCCCATTTTACGGGTTGTTGTTTCAGTTTCTTGATGGTTTCCTTTGAAACACAAACTTTAAAATTTTTGAGATCAGTTTATCTATTTTTTCTTGAATTTTTGGTGTCATATCTACAAGAACATTGCCTAATTCAAGGTCACAATTTATTCCTATGTTTTCTTCTATTAGAGTGTTAACTGTTTTAGCTCTTAAAATTTAGGTCTGTGATCTTCTAAATGATTTTTGTGTAACCTGTGAAGTAGGGATCTTATTTTATTCTTTTGCATGTGGATATCAATTTTTCCAAGCCCATTTGTTGAAAAGACTCGTTTATTCTCCATTGAATTATTTTGGCACCCTTTTTGAAAATCACTTTGCTGTACATGTAAGGGTTCTTTTGTGGACTCAATTCTATTGCACTGATCAAGGAGCTCTTTTAGCATAGTGGTTAAGAATCGGGCTGCTAATCTCACAGTCTGCAGTTTGAAACTACTAGCTGTTCCATGGGAGAAAGATGAGGCATTCTGCTCCCATAGAGATTTACAGCCTTGGAAACCCTGTACAGGGTTGCTATGAGTCGGCACCGACTCTACGGCACATAACAATAACAACAACAACATGTATCTATATGTACCATCCTGTCTTGAGTACTGTAACTTTGTAGTAAGTCTTCAAATTGGAAAGGGTGGCTTCTCCAACTTTGTTATTCTTTTTTAAGAATGTTTTGACACCTCAGGTCCTTTGCATTTATATCTGAAATTTAGGATCAGCTTGCCAATTTCTGCAAAGAAGTCATGTAGGGTTTTGATAGGAACTGCAGTGAAACTTTAGATCAACTTGGAGAATATTGCCATCATAACAATATTTGATTTTCTGATCCATGAACATGGATATCTTTCCATTTATTAAGATCATCATTAATTTCATTCAGTAATGTTTTGTGATTTTCATTGTGCAGGTTTTTCTCTCCTGTTAAATTTACTCTTAAGTATTTTATTCTTTTTGACACTATTGTAAGTGTAATTATTTTCTTAATTTAATTTTTATATTATTTATTGCTAATGTATAGACAGATACACAGGTGAATCCAGATGGGGCAAAGAATTTTAGTTTTAAGTTTTTTGTCTCCCCTTCCCTGAAGGCTAATTATTAAAGCTTTTTCTCTTGTTCATTGGGTACATGATCTCAGAGTTGTTTTAAAATGTGAGCCCCTTAATTATACTGTTGCATTTCTGCCTAGGTGGGGACTGTATAACTCATGTTTAGCTTAGAGTTTTATGATAGATGAAGGTAAAAAAGGTAACAAAGAATCTGATACTTCAAGTCCTCAGAGTTGGTGGAAATCAGAAATGATATAAAACTAGAGTTAAGAAAGACTGAAGTGTCAGGGTAAGATTTTTCTTGGTAACAAAAATACTATTTGTTGGGAGGTTATTAAAATAAAAGTATTGGTGATCAAGATTCTTCCTTCAAGAATTCTGAGAAAATAAGATGATAGTACCAGCTTTCATATGGCAGGATATTTCTAAAGATCTATTCTTTAATGTTAAGGTGTAAATATGGTTTATTGTACTTTTTTCTAGAAAAAGTTTGCCAAGTTGATGAACAGATTGAAAATCAACACCAATATAACCAAGATAAATATTTGTTGATGCAAGATGGAGTTCCTGACCAGAAAACAATTACCACAAAAAGTGGTCATGACTGTAATCGATTTGAAAACACAGTTCATCTGAGTACAAACCTTGTTTCATTACAAAGACCCCATAAACATGACTCATTTGGAAGTAACATGACAGATAATTTAGACTTATTTAGTCGTTCTTCGGGAAAGAAACCTGATAATGGCTGCGCAAAATTATTCTTCCATACTGAGTGTGAGAAAACAAATCCTGTGTTAAAACCCTATGGATATAAAGAGTGTGGGAAAGCTCTCAGGCGAAAAAAAGGCCTTAGTCTACATCAGAGAATTAAAAATGGAGAGAAACCCTTTGAATGTACTGCATGCCGGAAAACCTTTAGCAAGAAGTCACACCTCATTGTACATTGGAGAACTCATACAGGAGAGAAACCCTTTGGATGTACTGAATGCGGAAAAGCCTTTAGCCAAAAATCTCAGCTCATTATACACCTGAGAACACATACAGGAGAGAGACCCTTTGAGTGCCCTGAATGTGGAAAGGCCTTCAGAGAAAAGTCTACTGTAATCATACATTACAGGACTCATACAGGAGAAAAGCCTTATGAATGTAATGAATGCGGAAAAGCCTTCACTCAGAAGTCAAACCTCATTGTTCATCAGAAAACTCACACAGGAGAGAAAACCTATGAATGTACTAAATGTGGGGAATCTTTTATACAGAAACTTGATCTAATTATACACCATAGCACTCACACAGGAAAGAAACCCCATGAATGTAATGAGTGTAAAAAAACTTTTAGTGATAAGTCCACCCTCATCATACATCAGAGAACTCACACAGGAGAGAAACCTCATAAATGTATTGAGTGTGGGAAGTCCTTCAATGAGAAGTCAACCCTCATTGTGCATCAGAGAACTCACACAGGAGAGAAACCCTATGAATGTGATGTGTGTGGAAAAACCTTCACCCAAAAGTCAAACCTTGGTGTACATCAGAGAACTCACTCAGGAGAGAAACCCTTTGAATGTAATGAATGTGAGAAAGCATTCTCTCAAAAATCCTATCTCATGCTACATCAGAGAGGTCATACAGGAGAGAAACCCTATGAGTGCAATGAATGTGAAAAAGCATTCTCCCAAAAATCATACCTCATTATACATCAAAGAACTCATACAGAAGAAAAGCCCTATAAATGTAATGAATGTGGCAAAGCCTTCAGAGAAAAGTCAAAGCTCATTATACACCAGAGAATCCATACTGGAGAGAAACCCTATGAGTGTCCTGTATGCTGGAAAGCTTTCAGTCAGAAGTCACAGCTCATAATACATCAGAGAACACACACAGGAGAGAAACCTTATGCATGCACTGAGTGTGGCAAAGCCTTCAGAGAAAAATCAACATTCACTGTACATCAGAGAACTCATACTGGAGAGAAACCTTATAAATGTACAGAATGTGGAAAAGCCTTTACCCAAAAATCAAACCTGATTGTACACCAGAGAACCCATACAGGAAAGAAAGCCCATGGGAAAGGGCACACCTGGAAGTCAAAGCACATCACACATTAAAGAGTAAATCAGCAGGGTCTGTTGTGCACACTGACAGAAAGTTTGTCCATTTACTTAACATTTTAAAAGTATGTTTTGACTTTTGATATCAATATGAGGGACTAAAGTATGTCTTTCCTCAGTCTTCACCCAAAAGCTACAGAGAGAAAAAGAAACAGAAGTGCTATCTCTATTCCTGACCCAAGTAAGAGCTAACTGAGACTCTATTAAGAGAGCTGCCAGAAGCACGGGAAATCAAGTGGTAGTGCAGGAGATTTCAGAGAGAGAATGACCAATGCTGCAGATGTGAGAAGGCACTGTAAAGACTTTTATTGGAATTTCAAAATACACCCAGTGGTGCAGAACCATGTTTTTTCCAACAACAGTAACATAGTGCATGGACAAGTAAGAAGTGGGCTGGTACTGCAACCACATTGGGGTCTGAGAAGAAGCAGGCCTTGCCTCAACGAAGAATCACTCAGACAAGCCATATTTGCAGAAGTCGTCTGTACTGGCAGCAGGAGCAGTTGAGGGGCTGGGGGCTGGCAGAGGAGCAGGTACCTTTCCTCAGTTGCTAGCTCAGGAGAAGTAAAAGTCTGAAAGAACACACAAATGCAACAAACAAAACTCCCAGTTGTATAAAAGGAAAAAAAAAGAAAACCTGATCTATCTAGAATGTGGCCCTAGTTTCTCTCCCATCATGAACGTCCAGAAAATAGCAAATTCAGGAAAAATTTCTTCTCATTCAAAGATGAAGGATTAAAAAGGAATCAAACCCAGAAATACACATGGTTTTTGAGCCAGCCCTTCTACTAGGAATGTATATATTTGTACATGTACAAAATGATGAACACACAAATGTACTCACCAATGCACTATTTGTAAAAAAAAGATTGGAAGTTGTCCAAATGACAACTTCAGGGGCTTGTTTTCTGAAATCGTGATATATTCATACAGTGAACTCCTAGGTTGGCATACATACATATATACATAACCAATCAAACTAAGAGAACTTGGACACCTTTTATGTATTGATAAGGGATGCTATCAGGTCAGACAAGCAAGATGCAGGATACTGAGTATAACATGTTAGCATTTGTATATAAAAAAGGAGAAAAAAATTGGTAAGTACATAATTGATTGTATATGCATAAACTATCTTTCAGAAGATAAGCAAGAAGGTGGTAACCTTGATTACCTCTGGGGAGAATGGGGAAATATGTGGCTGGGGGGTGGAATTGTGAGGAAGACAACTATATATCCTTTTATAACTTGAAATTTATACTATGTGGATGTACTATCTTTTCAAAAATAAAATTTTTATAAAAGCATAATGTTTTACAATCAATGTCATATTTTAGACATAGGATTGAATAATATTATGTAGATATACTTAATTTGGATATTTGGTTGTTTCAAAAAAGCAAGTAAGAGGTGGTCACTGGGGCTTCTTTGCAAAAAAAAAAAAAAAACTGTGCCAAAGACTCCATGGTGACCTCGGGTATATCTCGGGTATATCATGTTACTGGGCAAAACAGCTCTTTATGTTTTCATTGTTGTTATTTGTGAGGATAAGTCAAAAAGTATTGCAACTAGGGTTCCATTTCATCCATGCACGAGTTGATCCCAAAGAAACATGTTTAAACATGTCTCTGCAATTAGTGGATGGCTGCAGATAAGTTTTCTTAGTAACATACTTATCCTAGTCTCATAAGGGCATTATAAAAACAACAACAAAAAAGTCCAATCAAAACAGTGTATGCCAAGAGGATCTGCAGGGCCAGGTAAATTCAAAGCAGAGAGGTCAGGTCAGGCTATGCCAACTGTTTGGAGGACTCCAAAGGGGTAATCTTGATAGATTTTCTTGAAGCACACAGGATGATCACGGGGGGTTATTATGACAAAGTTTTAAGAAAATGCAAAACTTGCATCGGTGAGAAAAAGACCAGAAAATTGTGCTGAGAATTTTTTTTTTTTTTTTCATCAGGACACTGCACCTGCTCATTCTTCAAGGGTAGTAAAGGCTGTCCTAAGAGAATTTTATTGGGAAACTGTACCCATCCACCCTACAGCCCTCATCTTGCCCCTTCAGGTTTCTTTGCCCAAAACGAAAAGAACATTTCAAAAGAATGCAATTTGAATACCTCAAGAATGCCAAAACTGCTATTTTTGACTTGGTGTAAATGGAAGAGGACAAAATTCTTTGAGGAAGGGTTAGAGATGAAAACACCACCTTTAGAAGTGTATACACCTAGATGGAGGATACGTCAAGAAGCAGTAGCTTCATATTTTGATATTTTTGTTTCAATAACAGTTTCTTTCATTTTGTAGCAAGTTTTTACTTACCCTTGTAAAAACTTTTACTTACACGCAAGAGAGTGTGTGGGTAGTAGGAATTGTTCATTTTACTATCTTATTCTCTTTCCAGTATTTGAATTCAATATGTGAATCATGTGTCCCACAAAACAGTACAGTTAATTAAAAAATAGTGGTACTTTGGGAAAAATAGAATTAATTTGTGTTACATGAGTACCTAAAAATTAGTGAGACATCAAATTTAAGTTTTAAAGGTGAGAGATATTTCTGATTACAAGATGGCTAATTTGGGACTAAGAATTCAGATTACTAGCTTTCCCATCTACAAAATGGGGCAGCAGTGTATTAATATATTGTTAATTTCTGTTTGTACCTGTTTTAGATCAGGAGTCTAAAGGAAGAATTTTAGAAAGTTTATGTTCTGGTGTGGTGCTGTGGGATAATGCACTGAACCACAAGGTCGGTTTGAACTGCAAAGTGGATAATTCAAATTCATCAGTTGCTCTTTGGAAATCCTATACAGGGTCGCTGCTTCACAACAACAAGTATGTAAAACAACCATACTCTTTTACATGCAGCTTTTAAATTTCTTAGCTGTGTTTATCATCCAATTTTCTTTGTATGAGTAAGGTAGGCGCTATTGGAGCTTCACCCAGATCCCCTTTATGTACAGTGTGCCACCCCCATCTAGGGCTAGTGTCGTCTGCTAAAAGCTCACAGCTGCCGTTTCTCCAGAGAAGTGCCCTTGGCCAATAGGAGTTACCCGTCAAAAATGCCAAGGTAATTATGCCCTCCCCCTCACAAACCCTCACCTCAAGGGGTAGAATCAATCCACAGCTAATAGTGGGTACAATTAACTAATAGTGGGTACACAAGTACTAATACTTGGCTATGAGTCGGATCCGACTTGACGGCACGTAAGAATAGCAACAACAGTTGAGTATACGAGGCCCCTTATTTCAAGTTGAGTAAACTGTGGCATCCTTCATGCTCCAGAGCTTCCCTCAGGAGTAGGCAGACTACATTTCCACTGAAATCACATACTAAGTTTTGTTTCCCATCCTTTCTTGCTTCTCTTAATCATATACATGTTTTTCCCAAGAGCTCTCATCAAGTCACCTAGACGAGAATTCCCATCTCAGACCCTGCATCAGGGTCTTACCTAAAAGAGTAAGTAAGCAACTCTTGTGTAAATTTAATCTCTTCAAGGATCTGTATGTATGTATATTATGTATATTATGTATTTATGCATGTGAATAAAATAGGACATTATTGTATAGGTTTCTAGAAAGTCTAACCTCATCTCTGTACTCTGCTATTTGCTTTCTCTGCTCCAACCAAGCTTCCCTTGAGTCATCAGGCAAGCTTCCACCTCAATGTCTTTGCTCTTGCTGTTCCTTCTGCCTGAAATGTTTTTCCTTCATGTGTCTGCATGGCTCATTTCCTCATCTCTCTCAAATGTTAGTTCAAATGACTTTCTGGTGAGACCTCCTCCTACCATTTAGAATGGTACCCTTTATACATGTGTTCTCTTTTCTTTTCCCACTATAGGTTGTTGTTGAGTGTCATTGAGTCGGTACTGACTCATGGCGACCTTATGCACCACAGAACGAAACACTGCCCAATCCTGGGACAACCTCACTACTAGTGCCATGCTTGAGTCCATCGATGCTGCCACTTGGCCAATCCATCTTGTTGGGGGTCTTCTTCTTTTTCTCTGACCCTCCACCTTACCAAACATGATATCCTTCTCCAGCGACTGATCCTGACAATATGTCTGAAGTATGAGAGACCAAGTTTGGCCATCTTGGCCTCCAAGGAGCACTCTGGATGCACTTCTTCCAAAATGGATCTATTGGTTCTTTTGGCAGCCCATGGCACTTTCAATATTCTCCTCCAACACCATAACTCAAAAGCATCAATTCTTCTATAGTCTTCCTTACTCACTGTCCAGCTTTCACATGCATATTAGGTTATTGAAAATACCATCACTTGGGTCAGGCGCACCTTAGTGCTCAAACTGACATCTTTGCTTTTCAACATTTTAAAAAGATCTTGTGCAGCAGATTTGCCTGATGCAATATGTCATTTGATTTCTTGACTGCTGCTTCTGTGAATTAAGTGATAGTTTACATAGGAGAATGTTAGCTTTACATTCATCCTATTGTATTTCATTTCATTGCAATGATTACAATCCCATCCATGCATCATCAAATAACCAAAGGGTACACCCCGTAAGCCTGCCCCCCTGACTGTCAGCACACAACCACTCTCCCTCCCTGCTCCATCTCTCCATGTCATCATCTCTGTCACCTCTGGTGTCACTGCTTCTCTGGATAGGGTCCCACACTGCACTCTTCTCCCTTGATGGTCCCAGAGTCCTCCGCTCCTGCACTGCAAAACTTCTACCTTTACGATTCCAACACTCATAGTCAGTCCTGATAGCAATTATTCACTATTGAACCACAAGAGTCTTATCCCCATCTCCTTTCATCAGCCCCATCCAGACAGGTTGGAAACTACTCAGTAGAGATTCTACCCAATTACAGTTTTAATCTCACTTAGTTCCTCTTATTTTGTTGTTGTCGTTAAGTGCTGTTGAGTCGGTTCTGACTCATAGTGACCCTGTGTAGGATTTCCGAGGAGCAGCTGGTAGGTTTGAACCGCCAACCTTGTGTTTAACAGTTCCAGTACTTATCCTACAG